CCCCAGCACCTACATTTTCCCCAGGTCACCCTCCTGGCACCCCCCCAGCATCCCCTCAGCACCCTCCTGTCACCGTCCTGTCAATCATGCCCCTGTCACCCCATCACCCTCCCTTCACCCCCATCACCCCCCAGTCCCTCCCGGCACAGCCCCTGTCGCCCCTTCCTGCCCCCTTCAGCCCTTATCACCCACCCATCTCAGTCTGCGCCACAGCCCCTCCTGCACTGTCACCCCCTCGCAGCCCCTTGCGCCTTGTCGCAGCCCTGTCACCCCTGTCACACAGCCCATCGCACCCTCTCGGCCCCTGCCACCGCCTCAGACACCCCGTCCCCAGGGCCACATGCGCCTCCAGGGACGCCCAGGCTCCCGCGCACCCGCAGCACCCATGGGCCCCCCAGTCCCTCGGGCACTCTCAGCTCCCATGGGACCTCCAGTTCCCAAGCGCCCCTGCGGACGCGCTGAGGTTCAGGGGATGTGAACACTTGCATTAACTCGCTGACGCAGCTGTGGCATCACCGTCGTTAACACCAGATTCGGTCCAGAGCAGTAGGGTACGGCTGTCACGGACAGCGAGTGCTGACGGAGCAGGGTGGTCGGAGCGGCACATGGGCATCCCTGCCCTTGCCATGGGAACCCATGTGTCCTTCGGGACAGGCAGGAGGACCGTTTTAAAACATTCCYGGGAGAGAATCCCTATCTGCCAGGATTTGGTGGGGTCTCCACGCAAGCGTGAAGAGGCACAGAGATGTTCTTGGTCCTGTGGGGAGTCCGAAGAGGGAAGGGTCAGTGAGGAGCTTGTGCTCTGGGCCCATGCGGGACAGGCGAGTCAGGGGAACAGAGGACAGTAAACAAAAAAGCCTGGGCAGTGGACRCAGGGCAGAAAATGAGGCATGTTGAGAACCTTCCTGCTTCTGAAAGGTTAAAGCAGTAGCTGTCTGGCGCCTCTGCCAGCCCCCGGCAGCTGGGCCGGGAGAGAGGCTGGCCTGGCTGCTTCCCTGATGGAAAGGGGTAATTTGCTGGTGCTTCAAACCACCCATCAGGAGAGACCTTGTCGCAGGCAGGAGACAGGGCACATCCTGCTCTGGTGCCTCCTGGAAAACCCCGGGGAAGCCCCAGCCCTGGGGGAGAGGGGCTGGAGGAGATGGAGGGGGGCTTTGCTTCAAGCAGTGAAAGAAGGGCAGCAGAAGCAGAGGCAGGAAAGCCACGTGGGGCACTGTCACCAGGAAAGGCCGTGGGCCACCAGCCATGCCCCCAGCAGCACTGGGGTTATCGCCCAAGCCCAGGGATGCCAGCACCAGGGAGGACGCACTGCTTGGGTCCCAGCCAGGGAGGACAGAGCTGGCCGCAAAGCGGGGGACGGAGCACCACGGTGTCCAAGAGAAGCTGGGGCACCTCCTTAGCCTGGTGACCTACAGAAACAGCGCTCACTGGATGGATTTCTCCAAATTTTGCAGAGGCAAGAGGTGGGGAGAAGGAAGATGCACCAGCTGGTGCCCCTTCTGCCCCAGGGGCGGGATGCAGGGCCTGGGATGCAGGGGCGGCCACARGGACGTGCGCTCCATGGGTGCCGCTGGCCTGGCATTTCCAGCACGGGTCGGGACACGGCTTCCTTGCTCCTTACGGCGGCACCGTTCCTGGCAGGTCCCCAGGCAGATCTCCACTGCTATTTTTAATGCTGCCTCTGCTCTCACCCTACATGTGCCATATGCTGAGCGCCGGGAAGCGGCTTCCCGGGCGCTGGGCGGGCTCCGGCTGGCACTGAGCACGGCTGGCGCTATCGCAGGAATCAACGATGCATCGACGGTGTGTCCCTGCCTGTTGCTGGTGTCAATGGCATCGCAGCAGCCTTTCTAACACCTCAGGAAGGCCAAAGGTGATGGTGGGTTAAAGCGGGAGCCCTCCCTGAGACCATCCAAACGTCACCTTGGTCTTGGATGGGAATTAGACCTAYTCCAGGCTGCTGTGGTTCAGAGCTCTGGTCCAGGCTGCTCTGGAAAGGGACCTTTCCATCTACAGGGTCACAGGGCCAGTGCTTCCTTTGCCACAGGCACCCCCTGTGCTGTCTGCAGCCAAAGACAAGCCGACAGTTTCATGCTGGGTAAAGATGTTGTCCTGTGATTCTCCGTGCTGCCAGTAATGGGGAAAGCAGGGGAGCTATGCATATAAGCCTTGGGCTGCATTCCTTTATGGAAACACACGTAAGAGAGATGGTTTTCTTTTCCTCTGAGGGCCAAGAAAGGGAGAACTTTCCATTCATCAAACTCAAGCTGACGTGGGTGCTGGACTTGGAGGTTACAGCAAGAGGCAACCTATGGAAAGTCTTGCTGAGAAGATAAGCACCGAGTCAACCACGCACRGCAAAACCCAGTGAACTTTCCAGGGAAGTGCATTGCCAGGAAATCCAACAGGACTTTATAATTTTACACTGGCAGTTTGCCAGCCAGGCAAGACTTCCACGGGCTTTTTGGCAAGCTGAGTGGGTGGATCCAAAGTGCTGGCTCAACCAGGGCGCCCACCATTGGAGAGAAAAGGCAAGTCAGCACCCACTTCTGTAGGATGTCTTAGCAAAGCGAGTGGAAAACCGGCTATCCCTTGGCAAAAGACATCTTAGCAGCCTCTTGCTATCAGGATTACAAATGGAAAATGAAAATCGTCTACCAGTGGCCATGTGTGGTGGAATAAGACTCCAAGAAGATTCAGAAGCGCATCAGCTTACAGCGCAAAGGTCCTTAGATAAATTGGAATTCATGACAGTATATGCAAAGGGTTTGAATCACAGAACAGCACGATGGTACTGGCATGTACATACAGCTCCTTCTCAGAGTGAGGGGGATAAAGCCATACCAGTGCACAGCTGAGAAATTCATCTGTCCCCAGGAAACTCAATGTGAGAGCACGGTGAAATCCAGATCCAAACACTCCCAAGGTGCAGGGAAATTTGGATCGATGTCCAAGCTCGGGGCCTCAGCAGCCAGGGTGCCCTTGCAGCCTTGCACACTCTGCGGAAAGCAAGATGAAACCTGAGGTGCCTCCCTCCACGTGAAACCAATGCCATGGAGCAGGGATGCGCATGAAGCTACCCTGCTTGCACCTGAGTGTGGGAGCAACGGAGACCCACTCTCCATCGGAGACCCAACAGAGTGTCCCAGAGACCCACTTTTTACAGCCTGCTGCTGTTTGGGTGGGCCACTTGATGTATGGGCATCAAGTCCACCACCCTTTTTCTAGTGTGTTGGGGTTTTGTTTGTTCCCACTGGACTACGCCAGCTCATCAGCAGGAACTTGTTCCATCGCAGGTGACATGCTCCTGAGAGCTTTCCAGTGGGATGCAAGCAGGTTACAAAATGGGCTTGCCAGGCTCCTTTCTGGCAGGAAACCTGCCTGGAGTGTGGCCAGCTCCTCCAGCTGACTCCTTGGCTGCCCACTTGCAGGTCTGTCCCAAAGGCAGGAACCCAAGGCTTCCTGGCTCCCGAGACAGCTGGTTCCTGGCATTGCCGAGTCTTAACACTGCCTGATGCTTCCCACAATAAAAGCCTTTTTGTAGCTACTTTGAAGTTCGTCAAACTTTACCTACCTTCCCCAAAATATTTTCAAACTATTTTTATTGTCAGCGCTATTTTCAGACTCAACCGAAAAGGTCCAGCTGTTTCCCAGGGCAAATTTAGGGAAATCCTGTTCCTGCTTTTTGGTCATTAGATGCAGTAGGAGATCTTGTCCTGGAGATATTTCAGAGCTTTGGAGCATCTGGCTTTTGGCAGGGGCAAATCTTGTGGCCGAGGAGCAGCGAGTTTCCTGCTGACCGCCATGAAGCTCGGCAGAGCTGAATGGAGTGATTTTCAATTTCTGGATCTCATGTTCAATTTTTTCCATCTCTTCTGAGAGAGAACCAAGGCAGCACCACACATACGTTCTCTCCTTCTGTTTTATAAGTCCCTATCTCCAAAAAAAAAAAAAAAAAAAAAACTCTTTCGCTTTGGCACCGAGTGCCTATACAGGATGAAGAACTTCAAGTGAGTGCTGTGCTTCCTGCGGCACTAATGAGGCCAGGGAGCGTGTTCCTTCGCCTATGGATCAAATGTGATGATGACTCAGATGCATCCTCAGGATGAATTTTGACATATTCTGGCCATTATGTGGATTCGCAGCATCCTTGTCAGATTCCCCTGCAAAGCCCGATGAGATCAGGAGCATGACATAATAAATCCACTTTGTCAACGGGCCAGAAATAGGCCATAGCCACTGTATTGATTTTTTCCTCCGGTTATATAATGAGGTTGCCGTGCGCCTCTCATCCCTGGGCAGAGCTGTGTGGCGGAGGTCCTGGGCATCTCACCAGTCTGGGGGGACGCACATGGTTGGGAGCGAGCACCCAGCACAGTGGTGCCGTTTGGAAGGGGAAGGAGCCTGGTGCCTCAGAAGCTGGATGTGACTCATGCTCTTCCAGCAGGGTTGCTCAGACGCGGTGCTCCACACCCTTATAATGCTCCTGAACAWAGGCATACCCGCGGGGGCTCCTGTTTTCCCAACTGGGTCCTACAGTTGCCCTTGCTGGATGCAAGAGGAGAGCAATGAAGCGAGTTCTGAAACAAGCTAAAGCACCGCACGTGAATGCCTGCAATGGGGCACGGGCTCCCAAACATGGGCGAGGGGAACAGGATGCCTTGCATCCCTCCTGCGGCTTTGCCCGCATGACGCGGCAAGCTGATGGAGGGAATCATTTCAGGCAGCAAGACCTCACCTTGCCTCACCTTGAGGTGTGGAGTGGCCTCAGGGACCAGCAAGGTGGCTTGTGTGCCCTCCGTTGCTCAGGGTGCAGGGTGGCCTGGGGGACCAGCAAGGTGGCCAGGTGTGTCCCTTCTATGGTATGGGGTGGCCTCAGGGACCAGTGAAGTGACCTGGTGTTCCCTCCACAATTCAGGATGTGGGGTGGTCCTGGGGACCCACAAGGTGGCCTGGTGACCCCCCTGTGCTTTGGGGTATGGAGTGGTCCTGGGAACCGGTGAGGTGTTCTGGGGTGCCCTCCATGGCTGACAGTGCAGGGTGGCCTGGGGGAGCAGCGAGGTGGCCCCCTTCCCCCTCTGTGCTTTGGGGATGTGGTGGCCCCGGGGAGCAGCGAGGTGTGCTGGTGTCCCCCGCAGAGCTCGGGGTGTCCCCCGCAGAGCTCGGGGTGGCCCCGCACACCCGCGAGGTGGCCCCGGAGGCAGCGGCAGGGCAGTGGCCCCGCGTGTCCGCGGCGTTGCCAGGAGACGCCATGGCGGCGGCGGCGGCAGACACAGCCCAGGCCCCGTCCCCAGGCCCGGCCCCGTCCTCGCCCCCATCCCCGTCCCCGTCCCTAGCCCCAACCCTCTCCGAGGACTCAGCGCAGGACTCAGCTCCGGACCCGGCGACGCTGCCGCTGCCGCAGCTGCGGGCCCTGCTGCAGGAGCTCAGGTAGGGAGGCCATGGCTGTGCCCCCGGCGCGCGGGGACATGGGGCCTGTCCCGCGTGCGGGCAAGGGGCCGCGCTGCCACCAGCGGCCCGAGCTCCAGCCGCCGCTGTGCCCTCGGTGCCTCCCGAGCCCCGGGAGGCGGGGCGCGCTGACCCCCGCCCTTGGCAGCCATGCCACCGCCATGCTCAAGGTCGAGATGGAAACGCTGGAGAAATGGTACTGCAGGCTGGAGCCGCAGAGCCAGTCGCTGCACCTGCTGGCGGACACGCGGGACTCCTCGCCCGAGGTGATGCAGGTACCGCTGCCAAGGTTGCCAGCAGCCGCACGGCTGCAGATCCCCCATTCCCACGGCTGCAGATACCCCCGTTCCCATGTGTGCCTCTCAGCAGGACCAAAACTTGCCATTCGCTGCCCTTTTTGCCTTCCTTTGGACCTCCCCCATGTCAAAGCAGATAGAGCAGGTGGTGCGAGGGCAGCACTTCCTACAGACTGGCTTTGCAGTGGTCCACCACTTAACCTAGACCCTGCTTGCAAAACACAATGCTGCTGGTCTAGGTATGTGCATTTGCACTGCTCTGCCTTCAGGTCAAGAGTCCTCCTGCCACAAGCTTATTTTGAAGTAGATGCTCCATAAGCCGTGAAACTGATGCCAAGAAAGCCAGGGACTTGCCCAAGACCATGGCACATGGGTGCTAAGGATGCTCTGCTCCTCCTCTTCTCCCTCTTGCGGAAGTTCCACCCMGGCTTACATTGATGTGTGTCCACATCCATTTACTGCTCCTGCATGCAGGTTGCTCTGTCCCTTCTCACTGGAGCTTGAGATGAACCCTGGCTACTGAGCGCATTTAAGCCTCTTGGCCTGAACTTCGCCTTTTCATTGGCAACTCAGTGACCCTTCGTGGTGGAGCTTTCAGCCAGTTTCTTGCACTAGATTTTAGCCTGAGTCCAAAGTAATCACGCTCTGATTTTTTTTTTTTTCTCAGCCCTTGGGAACTTCACCCTTGGCCAGATGGGAGCAATGCTGGGCTCCACATAAGCTATGATTGCTTCTCAGCCCTATTAGTCCTGAGAGCAAATTCCAGTCTACTCATGCTGCAGTGAGCTCAGTGTGTCTGACCTGGGCACTCATAGGAGATCTCAACTCTTCCACGTGGAAAGTTGTAAATAATGTCACTGTTAATTAGCATCTTTACCACAAAGAGATGCTTCACTTGCCCACATGAGGCTCTAGCCTCAGCTTTAACCTGTAGCCCAGGATCTGCCTGTTGGATTGAATTGAAAGTGCTTGTGTGAGAGGGTTTTCTGGGGGAGGAAAGAACAGAGGGGGAGCCAAGGTGTGTGTTAGCCCCGCTCTGGTGCTGTCTCCTTGTCCTTGCTGTAGACTCCAGCATGTGACCCTAGGGATTGCTATGTCTTTGTAATGGCATCTTCATTGTTCCTTGGCGCTTGCAGATCCGTAGCAGGCACAAATCCAAGTCACGTGGTCCATCAGAGCGTTTTCTGGGCCTGACAGTGGAGCAGAAATGTGAGCTGGTGGAGCGGGAGCTGGAGGAAACAAAGGATGAGATTCAGAAGATAGAGGAGGACTCTGAGCAGACCCTTCAGGACCTTGAGGTATGGCTTTCCAGACACGTGAGAATCACCAAGGTGTTTGTTGAGCAACCTTGTTASTTCTCACAGCACTTTCAATATGCCCTCCCTCGTGCCAGTGAGTCAGACTTGTCTGTCAAGGGCTGTTCRTAGCAGAGCACTGCTATGAGTGCTCCTGAGTTGAGGCTGGGCGCCAGTTCCTCACCTCACCCCTTCCCTGCAGGCAAACACACCAGCAGAGGGGTCCCCTTTAGAGTCTCCCTCCCCTTTAGAGTCTCTAAAGTTGCATTATATTATAGCCCATACTAATAAAATACTAGTCTAGAAGACTTTTAAATGGAGGAGCTCAGCTCTGCTGTGTGAAATGCTGGAAAACAAAATCTCCTTTTTGTCTCTTCTAAAAGGTTTGCCTTTTTTTTTTTTTTTTTTTTTTTTTTTTTTGCCAGACATTTTTTTTCCCAATCTAACAGCTCTCGAGAGCTTCCTGGTTTGATTGGACTCCATGCAGGCTTTGTCCTTCCATTGTCTTCAAGTTTTGATCTGGGTGTGCTCCAGATTTCCCACCCTGGGTCGCTGCTGCAAGRTCCTTGCTGCTGTATCTCCATACCTGCCTGCCCTAGGCTGTCTGCCAGGAGCTTCTTCTTGGCAAGAAGACCAAGAGTTCTTGGGAAAGGAGAAACCACCTCTTCTTTTGGTTGGGATCACCTGGTGCAGCACGCAGCGGCCAGGACAAGGGAAGCAGGCAGCCTGTCTCTCTTGTGTGGCCACCAGATGCATGCAGTGAACAAACGGGGCTACATATTGTCTTCTGTAGCGGTGTTTGTAGCTCAGGATAAAGCAAAAGTATCTCAGCAGAAAGTATGCCCGGTCATTTCCAGTGTTTTCTACCCCCAATGCTTCCTGAACAAGGGATGCTGGCACCTCTTCACTGCTACGTGACTCTGTTTCTACAGGCAGCCATGGAAGAAGCAGATGTTTGGTGGGCTGAGGTTAAAAAAGCCATCAGTGACTTTGACAAAGAAATCAGCACCCTCTCCCAGAAGAAGGGTGGTACTGTGGCTTYTGAGAAGCTGCTGAGATACCTGGAGGAGAGGAACCACCAGAGGGTCAGTGCAGCAGGACAATTTTCAAACCTGGACTATCCTCTGAAAAGTATGTCATTTATACAAAATCCYAGTTCCTGTCCTCAGTTATGGCCTGCATAAACCTTTCAGACCTATCTTGGCAAGCATGTGTGGACAAGCCTTGTCACACTTACCAGCCAGTGACCAGTCTGGGTGCTCATCAGCCTGGTGGGCTGCAGCACAGATGTGGGTAGAGACTGTACAGGGCTCAGCTCTCCAGCTCGGTGGAGGCCGGGGAACTGCACAGCCCACATCTATTCCCACATCTGGGTCACGGTGATGCTGAGCAGAGTTTCTCACTGAGAGAAGTCCTTCTTCATCAGTCAGAGGTGAACAATATGAAGGCTGCATGAGATGAACAGGAATTGCACCATAAGGAGAGGGGTCCAGGTTCTTTCTCATCCCAGATTCAGCTGTTCCACTTTGCTGTCTTTTCCTAGGATCTGCTGAAAGAAAAGTTACGCCTGAAAAATGATTCACTCAGGAGCTACAAGAAAAAGCTGCAGCAACAGCTCAGGCAGGTGCGTGTGGCGGTTGAGGAAAAGCAGGGCAAGAGCAGAGGGGTTCAGGCTGGTGCWGAGATGTCCACCCTGCCCTGTGTAGAGAGGCAGGGCCCCCTTCCTCCCTCTCGCCCTCCTCCCTTCGCTTCCAGCCTTGCCGTCTCTGCTGAGGGGCACTGTTGTCTGTCAGGAGAGGTTCAGACTTGGAACATCTCTGCATGCAGGAGATGAGACAAGAAGTCTCAGAGTGGAAGCTGGCAGAGCTCTGCACCCTGGAAGAGATGCAATTCCCAGCGGAAGGGCGCTGGCATGGCTAGAGCCTGGCCAAAGGGAACCTGCCTGTATTCCTTGGCTGCACCACGCTCGGACACAGGGCACGTGGGGAGCAGCATGTTGTGTCTCTCGTTTCTCCCTAAGCCCCAGGTCTGCAGCCAGGCTGAAGTCTGTTCATTAAGTCTGCTTTTACCACAGAGCCTAACCCTCCTCTTATTTGGGATTTACCTGTGGCCAGCAATCTGTAGCTGTGCTTCCTTGGGTCTGCAGAAGGAGCACATGGGAGAGACGTTCCGTGAAGTCCGTTTCGAGCAGCTGCAAATTAGAAACATGCAGTACCAGGAGAAGATTGAGGAGAAGAATGAAGAGCTGCTGCAGCTAAARCTGACCTCAGGAAAGACTGTCCAGGCTCTCAACCTCTACAAAGTAAGTGAAGCTCTTAGCACCCCTATTTTCCTTTCCTCCAGTCTCCAAGCATCAGACAGGAGCTCACCAACAGCTCCTGCCTGCTTCACTTTCTCAGTCTAAGGATGCTGAACAGTCTTTCCACTGATTTATCAGCTCAGCTGGGAGCTTTGCTTGACCCACCAGAGTGCTACATTCCTCTCCTAGCAGGGGTGTCCACTTGCACATTTGACTGTAGGCCAAAAACAGGGCTTGTGCTTTGCAACATGGCTATTTTAGAGGGAACAATTCTGATTGGGAAGAGCCTCGGTGCTGACCTGGACAGGAAAACACATGTATAAGTAACCTGTGACGCTCAGAAGGATGTCATGAGCTGCAGCCACGTTTCTGAAGCTCTGATTATATCAATTAAAGTGCTGCTCTGCTGGGAGTATTTGCTTCTCTGGGAAGAACCCTTCTGCCTGGATGAGTCCTAAACTCAGGCTGCTCTTCTTTGGCTGTGCTGTAACATAGATGCTAGGTTGCTTGAAGGTACTTGAGATGCCATGTAGATCCACTTGGAGCAGGATTCCTGTATCACTAGCTGACACAAAGCCTGAGGAGGATCTGTGCTTAGGAAGCAAAGGGCTGGCTTTGCAGCTACCTGGGAGCTGTGGTTGTGCCTGTTGACACTATCACCATCTTGTATTCCAGAGGAGGCTGCAGGATGCCATGGAAACATCAGTGTGCCTGACGAAAGACATCTCCCAGAGGAAGGAGCTGCTGGAGAAGATYGAAAGAGAAACYRTTGTGGTGGARGAGGTAAAAAGARGATCTGTCCTAGGGCTTGRGGATCCCTGGTAGTCCACTGCAGTGAGCTGGATGYTTACCCACCTTCATGGATCTGTCCRGTAGCTTCTGTTTATGCCAGTAAGAGTCAGTAAGTTTACAAAACAGAAAAAGAATCCCTCTGTGGATTTTGGCCTCAGCTCCACAGTTATCAGCCATTGGTTTCTGRGAATTTCAATTCCTCAAACTCTTCATCAGCAGCATCCTCTCCAGTGAGAAGCAGCATCACTGTCACACCAGTGTGGAGACACAGCCYGGCTGGGACACCTCAGCCTTGGGCCATATTCTTGGCCACAAGAATATTTCTCTTGGATTTCCTTGCCCTGTCTCCCTTTTAGGAACGAGCCAAAGCTGAGAGCCTGAATAAGCAGCTGCGAAGGCAGCTCTCAGATTACCGAGTTCCCCCTGTTCTGAGGTACGTGCAGGAGAAGATGGCCATCAGTGACCTCCAAAACAGCCTCAAGGCTTGGGAGAGGAAGGTGTCGATTGCTGAGGTGAGTGCAACGGGACCGGGTGTGCACGAACCCGCTGCAGAGATGGCTGTGGGACCCGCTCTGTGCCTGCCCACCTGCCGGCACTCCAGGCACCAGCGGGGCTGCTCTGTGCCCGCGAAGCGCCAGCTCTCGCGCTGTGGTTTCCCTGATGCACACCAGAGCTGGAGGCGCTTCCTGTTTACAAAGCAACCATCGCTTCCTGCTCCAAGGAGAGAGGCTGAAGCTCTAACACTTGAGCTCAGAAGGGAAACCAGGGCAAGGACTCAGTTAATTTGACAGGAAGCATCACCAGGTTGTTATCCTGAAGCCTGTAATGTGTGAGGACAAGGGGATATGCAGGAGCTGATACATTTCTCACTTTGCATATGTCCCTTTGGTCCTGTGTGGACCTTTTCCAAAAGCCCAGTTAACTCCTGATGGCTTGGCAGCATCTGTAGTTCATTCTGATGCTCTCAAAGTGTTTCACAAACAATCTTTGTAGTGTATTTTTGAAACGTAGAGCTAGCACGACCTATCCATACCCCTCCCCGTGGAGGATATCTGTGCACATGGCAGYGTGCAGAGAGAAGCTGCTAGGGCAAAGCCAGCTCCTTGGACTCATAGTGTGGTGCTGTGCACCTATGTCCTGCTCGTTCCCCTTTCATCTCACACGTCTCTCTGGCAGAGCCACAAAACCTGGGCACTGACTTGGGCACTGCCCACGTGGCAGTGGTGAGTCTTGTGAGCCTCTGGGCAGTCGGGAACAGAGCAGCAAAAGAAGGACCCTGTTATTGTCCCTGGCATAACGCGAATGGTACCATTCAWTCACCGGCCTCCTGTTGTCCCCTGCCAGCCCTTCCACGGCAGGACATGTCAAACGCCCTTAGCACTGTGCCAATGACTGGGGGTTTCCACGCACTGCACTTCAGGCCAGGCTAGATTCCCACTTTGCAGCTTCCTCTGCATCATATCTCTTGTCTGAACATGTTAAGACCCTCTTGCTTTCTTCTCTTGCAGATGTCCTTGCAAAGCTACCGCAGAGCATGGAACCGGGTCAAGATGACCAGTAAGCAGCACTAGATGGGTCCCATGCTGTAGGACAGCTAGTGGAAGCTGCAGAAAGAGGCCAAAGAGGGTTTGCTGTCAAGTGGGTGGGTAAATGTAACACACTGCCAGCTGCAATGAGGGGAAACCGCTTCCGCGTGAAATGATAAAGARCTCCTTAACTCCAGTCGGGAGGCCCTCGCTTTTGTCAAGGCCACACGTATGCCAGCTTCCATGAGGCACTGCTGCCCGGCCTCYCTGCAGGCCCTGCTAGGTCAAAGTCAGTGGTGCTCTGATGCTCCCTCCCTCCCCCTCTCTATCACTACAAGCACTTGTTCCCTGGTGATCAAATCTGACATGTTTACAGGAGCTGTCCTTTCTCTCTGAGCCAGCCCCGCTGATCACTTAGTGCAGGAGGAACCAAGGAGGTGCTTTGGGAGGCTTCAGAATTTAATAGCTCAGAGTGGGCTCACACACTAGAGGAGGGCGCAGCAGTGCGAGCAGAGGGCAGCTCCTTTCAACGTGACGTGTATGAACCAAGCGGGCTTTGCAATTGCACAAGGAAGCCTCATAGAAAATAACTCGTAAAATAACAAAACAGCAAGAGAGGAACAGCAATCCTCTCCCCAAGCCCCCAAGCTTGGGATGAGTATCTGCTGGAGTTGGGAAGTGTTTCCCGCTTGTAACAGTCAGAATGTTCTGGTCCTTTGTGGCTTCTGGCCCGGCCTGGCCCATCCTTAGATGAGTTCAGGTGTGTCTTTTCCTGCTTGAGGTTGGAATCATCTTCCTGAAATACTCTCTGTACTGATTTGAAAGCCTCTTCCCAGTCTTCAGGCAGAGTTGGCAGAACAGCTCTTGCTCTGACTAGTGTGGGGAACACTGGGGCTCCTGCCCGTTCTGTGGTGGCCAAGATCCAGTCGCTGTAGTAGGACACTATCGTGTACAGGAATGGCCCGTAGCATCTCATGCCACCTTCACTGAGCACTCCTTTCAGGACCCATTTCTCGGTACCCTTAATCTGGCACATGACGGGGTTGCCTGGGTTGCCCTTCAGGACACAAAAAGGCAGGGTTGTATCACCAGAGCACGGTTTCCCTCCTGCTGTTGCTTTTACATCTGGTGGACTTCGCTTGAGGAAAGGAGAGCAAGTTGCATCGGCTTCTTCCTTGATCACTGGCTACAGCCAAGCACCTCAGACTGAGGGGCTGGCTGTGGCTGGGCTGATAGAAGAGCCCATTCCTGGGCACCCCACATGAAGTGGCCAAGCTCTCAGGGGATCCAGAGGCCCCCAGGTGCCAGCCTAGCCCCAGCTGATCTCTTTGTACCCACCACAAGGAATCCTTGCCCATTTTGCCTTCCAAGGATCGAGCAAGATTGTCCTTGGCACTGATCACCCTTGGAGAGGAGCCCTGTGGCCCTGATGATGAGATAGGCTCAGAGAGCAGAGCAGCACCCTACAGGGAGACAGTTTCCCTCCAGCCTGCAGGGAGATGGATGTCACACATCCAGGCACCGTCTCCCACGCCTGCTATTTGCAAGCTGTGCTGAAAGGGATCTTTTCTTGTAAGGACTGAGCAGAAGAGACTCAACAAGTGTTTTGGCTTCTCTCCCAGCCTTGAGTCAGAGCTGTGCAGAGTGAGGGAAAAAAGGGAGAAAAGCAGTTTCGCTAGACAGCCTCCCAGTTTGGGTGGGTGCCACATGTCCCTTACCAAGCAGCCTGACACATTATCAGCGTCCCTGTGGCTGCAGCACTCAGTTGTAGGGATCCTTTCCAGTGGGCAGAGGTCGATGTCCACCACGGTGATCATCCTCAGAAAGCCGCTGCAGCACTTGCCCCTGGCTGGCCAAGAGACCCCAATGAGCCCTTGCCCTTGGCACCCCTGGCCTCCAGAAAACAGCAATGGGTGACTGGCTGGTGTTTTTTCTTGCCAGCACACGGGGAGCAAAGAGGAGCTCTGTCCCTTTCCCTCCCATCAGGGTTGTTGGGGGGAGGGAACAGTGGGGCTACCTGCTGTGGGATGGAGCCAGCCCGAGACCCAGCAGTTCACTAGGTCCGACCTAGAAAGGCTCCTCTGGGGGAAGCAGATGGGCTGGACGGTGTCGTTGAACTCCAGCGGGATGGCCGTCCTGAGCAGAGCTATGTTATTGTAGAGCGTGGTCGCGTCAAAGTCCTCGTGGGGGATGATGGAGCTGATCCGGTACTGGGGCTGCTCCTCCTGCCGCCTCTTCAGGTCGCTTAGCCCAACCATGGCCAACACCTGCTGCCTGCAGAGGTGCCGGGAGGGGAGGCAAAGGGCTCCCTGTCACTGTGCATCATGGTGCAGGGAGGACTATTAAGTGTGGGCTGGAGCAGAACGATGCCATGGGCTTGGCTCTGCTGCATGAAGCAGGGCCTGAAAGCGAAGGGAAGACCTGGGCGATGCTCCTGGGAGAAGGAGCCAGCCTTGGCATCGGCTGCGTTAATGCCACGGGGCTGGAGCGGGCCCTAGTGTGACAGCCTTTTCCCCTGCCCAGCGCCCAGGTGACCTGGAGGGGGGGGAACTGGCATGATCCCCCCAGCTCTTTTTCAGCTCCTTTTCAAGTCAGTAAAGAAGGAATTTTTTTTTCCTGAGGAGCTGGAGGGAAGAATCTTGAGTCCTGAGCCTGGGAGGGATGTAGGGCYCGCCACACACAGCAGGGATCACCCCTGGCTGCTTTCTGTGTCACCCTTGGAGAAGGGACACGCTAGGATGGATGGGCCTCCAAACCGCCTGCAAAACAATAAACCTGCTGAGGGACCAAGCAGAGCAGGAGATGGGGAGATCCAGGAGGGCCGGAGAGCCTTCCAAGCAGGACACCGACCTGCCCTGCAGGCGGGAGGCCGCGCTGAGCACCCAGTGCTGGCTGAGGATGGTGCCGAAGGCCAGGTGCTCATCCTGTCGCGGGTCCTGCAGGGCCACCACCCACGGGAACTGCGCCACACCGGCAAACTCCTGCGTCGATCTCCGGGGGGACGCGGTGGCCTGGATGCCACAGGCTGCAGGGCCAAGGGGGGCAGCGGGTTGGGCACACGCATCCTGGCGCCCTCCTCCRCTCCGGATCCCTGCGGTGCCTCCAGAGCCAGGGTGGGCTCCTTCACTCACCCGCCACGGCGGACTGGGACAACCACAGCCAGACGAGGCCTCGCATGAAGGCGATGGTGCAGCCGGAGCTCCCTGTCCCTGCCCATCCGGAGGACGGTGCTCTGGGTGCCGCGGCGTGGCAGCCCCTCAGCTCCCAACCCCTCATCCCACTGCGCTCCACCCTGCTGGCACCCACGCCCGGCTCCAGCCGGCCGCGCAGCGCTGCGGCACCGTCCTGTGAGCGCCGGCATGGCCGCGCGCCTGGCGCCACAGAACATGGCGGCGCGCCGCTCTGTTACCTCAGCGTCGCCACGGAGGGGCCAGCAGACACCCATGGGGGGCCGGTGGGCGGAGCGGGCACGGGCTGCTTAGGACACGAGGGACCCTGACGAGAAGGATGGCGGTTTCTCCTCTCCCCACTCCCGCACRTAAGAAATTTCAGCCTTCGTCCTCTCTGGTTGCTCTTATCAGCACCACTGATAAGGGCCAGTGGTGGGTCTAATCCCCAGCCCTTGTGATGTGGTGCTGGAAAATGCCTTGGAAAGCATCCGGGAGGCGGCTGATGAGCCACAGGCCCCTCCGCAGCCCGCCAGTGCCAAAAGGGGCTGCTTGATCCGCAAGAGCAAAGGTGCTCCCCGAGGGGTGCCACTGCGGTCTGGGTGCCAGCGCAGCTATTCCAGCGGGACGCCGAGGCCTCCACGAGTGGCACCAATTTTTCCATGCTCAAAGCTGGCACCACCTGGGCCCGAAGCGCTCGGGAACAGCTCCCGTGAGCCATCCGTGGCCTCTCCCGGCTCGCTCAGGGTGCTGCTGGAGGCGGTTGGTATCATCTGTATGCCCAGAGATCGAAACCCACGCATTGCAGACGCCTGCATGGTGCCATTGGAACAAAGATGGGTCCCTTTGGAAGCCCTGTCCGCTTCCAGGCTGGGGAGACCAGTCCCATTGAGCTTCACCAGCCTCAGTGTGGATCCCCACAGGCAGCGCTAGACCCTGGCTCGCTGGAGCATCTTCCTTCATCCCAAGGACCAGACAGCCCCTGTTGCTGCTGCTGAGACGGGCAGCTCTCCTGCGACGAACCACGTCCCCCCGGCAGCCCAGCCTGCGGACTAATAAGTTTTAAAGGCCACGGTTAAGGAAGCCAGCCTGAGGCTGAAGCGCAGAGCCAGGCCCAAGGCCTGCCCCCGCGCTCGTGTTGGCGAGGCCGCACAAAGCCAGCCCTGTGTGGCACGCGAGGGCTGCGGCCGGCCGGGCTCTCCTCGGCCGCGGGTCTCCCCGGGCTCCATCGCTGCTGTTCTTTGCTAGCTTGTTCCTAGCACCAAGACAAAAAATTAACAAGTTAAAAATGTCTGATAAAAAAATCAATTGACTGCAGGAAAAYATTAACACAGCCCAACCTGTCCCTGTAGCACAACTTAGCCGCTTCGGAGACGTGTCTGTTGAGTTTTCCACTTAGGCAAACAGGCTGTGTTGCAGTTCCGCCGCCACAAGTGCTTTGATCAAAGTTTGCATTATCAAAACACAGGGAGATGCCCAAGAACTGATTGCATCTCCCTGCCCCGAGCCCGGTTTCCCGTCGTGCATCCACACAGCTGCACCTTGCCTCTTAAACCAGCCCCTCCACATCTTGTCTTTCTCCTCCCATGTTTCCAGGTCACGGTACTCCCTGCACTGCTGGCCTTAGCGCTGGGGCTTGGCAGGGATGYGCTGGCTGCCCCCTTCCAACACGGTGCCCTGCGGGAATGCTGTCCCTTGTCTTTGGGGAGGCAGGTGTGTACGCGTCACTTGGTGGCTTTCAGAAGGATTCGTTTTTTTCTGGCAGCCTCCCAGTCTAAAGCCAACTTGGTTAAGAAGCAAAGACCAAAAACCACATGTGGCTRGATGTTCCTCACTCTCACAGGAATTGCTGAGGAACTGTATGGGAAAAACAATTTGAGGCCCATGCTGCCCTCAAACATCTGTCTTGACAAAAGATGTGAAGCTTTTGTGAGCAAAGCCTCAAGACTTTGAGTGCTGGGGATGGACAGTATTGGTTCTACCTTGGCCTACCTTGCTTTGCTCGGGCCAGTGTGTGATGAACACAGTGAGATGGCAGTGCTGGAGCTGTCGGTCCTGGGCCATCCTTGGGTGCTCGCCTGCTGGGGGACATTTCTGAAACACCTGCCTCACGTCAGCCRGCAGCTGAGGTAGCAAAGGCGGGACATGGAGCGATCGGCTCCCAGTTTACCCCACTTATCCACGGAGATGAAGTTGGCTGTGYGCAGCGCTGTGCCTACGTGGTTGTTGGCTCTCCCAGTCCCGCCTGTCTCCAGAGGCGCTAATTACAGCGGGCGTTGCTGGCGTGGCCCGAGCAGACGAGCCAGACTGCTGCTAACAACGCTCGACTGCCTCACTCGGGCACATCCCTGAGCTTGGCTTTGTCCCATTTCGCTTGGAGTGCTGCACCAAGGCATCCAGGCTAGCAGTCCCATCACCCTGGAGTCCCCAGAGAGACAGGCAGCTSCCAGGGGAAGGGCCACCCCTGGGAGCTAAGGCACCTCCCGCAATCTGCATTCCTCTCCAGTCTGCCCAAGGTAGGATAAGGTTCAAGACACTATTAAATAGAGGTGGGGAGGACAACCTCCGCCCCAACTGTGCTGTTCCTTTGGATCTCTTTGCAATGTGGCTAAAAAGCACCAGTCAGGAGTAAGGAGCATTGGAAACACCTGGAAAAGAGGCAGCCCCTTCCCTTGGGGACACACAGACAGAGCAAATCTCATCACTGCAACATGGGAGCTCAACCCTCCTCAGAGTCAACTCAGCTGCCAATATTAAGGCAGACGCCAGAAGCTGAAGCCCTCTGCGCTGGTGGATGTATGGGGGGACTGGAGGAGATGGAGATGTTCAGGACACGTTCATGCACCCACTTCACCTCCTTCCCAGGAGGAACCTGGCTTGTCCTGCCACATCCCAGTTCCTGCAAGCGCTGCGTGTTTCCTGGAGCGGTGGCAGCACCGGGCCTCGAGGCTGGGGAAGAGGAGGCTTGAAGCTCCGGTTTGGCAGTATAGGGTCTCCAGTGACAGTGGCTCAAGGGCATCAGAGGCAGCCTTTTATATTGTAGCTGCAGCTCCCCACCACCGAGCCCTCGCTGTCCTTCTGCGAGAGAAGGGCGAGTCCCTGGCCTCGGGAGATGAGCTGGCAGGCAGGGAGCAGCTGGGCATTCATTAGCCCCAGCCCCTGTCCTCATGCTCGTTAGCGCCCCAGTTCTGCCACCCTTAATTACACTAGTCGATGGTATTCTGCCAGCAGTCCTGCTGGCTTTTACGGGGCCGCTTAGGGCCTAGAGGAGATATTCAACATCTGTGAGGGTGGCAGAACCAGCCCAAATGATTATACCTGCTAGACAGCAATCACTGGAGATAAAAGGAAAGGAGAGATGTTAATAAACCCCAGAATTTCCTGCTGGGAGCAGAAATGTCTTTGGTTCACCTTAGCGTTTTCCAAACAGTTGGAGAGCATTCTCTGGCAATAGCCTTCTGTTCTATTGACATTATATCCTCATTAACCCAATTTTACCACTTAAATCAGGGASGGAGGAGGGAAAGGGGGAGAAAATTGTATTTGTTTAAATACCTTTTTTTTTTCCTCCAGGCAAGATGTTGTTACAAACAGCAATTTTTTAATAGGAAGAAGAAGCTTTTGTTACAGCTTGTATTTATATTCAGCAGAATTTTCAGTGGAAGAGGTTTTGCGTGAGAGGTGACTAAAGCCAAAAATACCTGTAGCTCTCACACCTCTGCTCTGCTCACTCACTTTCAAGATGGACAGAGACCAGCCTTCAATTCCCTGTCTTCAGCTCTGCAGCCAGGTGGACTTTTACATCCTAGGTAGATCATKCCATATTAAAGCTGAGGGTACGTCAAACTTGGGGATGCATCTCAAGCTACGTTTTGTTGCACCCGCTGTGTAGAAAGGAAGATGGAAAGTGCAGGGCAACTGGGTTCTGGGCACGTCATCAGAAAAACAGTTTCCAAGCGGAGTCCTTCCGGTAGTGGAGGATGTAATAGTCATGGAAGTACAACAGCACCATGAGAGGAGGCCCCAGGACCAGGCTGATCCACATGAGGATGTTACCRTAGCTGCCACCAAAAAGCCATTTCAACAGGCAAGAGAGTGGGATCTGTTGGGAAAAGCAAAGAGCAGCTGCTTATAGAAGTCTGGTGGGTCAGTCCTACCATTCTCTAAGGGATGCTTGTGCCCTTAACTAGAGGACAGATCTATACTGAATTTGTTTTTCTATTATCAGGATGATTACTCAATTTATTTCTAAAGGGTGCCCTTGCCAAAGGGCTCCAGGCTTTTGCACTTCCTAATAAAACAATCACAAACCCCCTAATGGGACCACCTGCTAAAGCCTAAGTATGCTAGAGCAGAAGGAGAAAGAAAGGGTTATACATGCAGAGCCAAGAGTTGCCATACTTGAGGGCAYGATGGGAAGGCAACGATTTCATAGTGACGTTTAAAGGCTGAAGGAGATGAGATGGAAAGGATTTGAGAAGGCAACGTGTTTTGCATCCAGAAACCATCAGGTAGATCGTTACAGTGAGGAAATCTGTCCCCTTAACAACACTCAGAAGCTTTCAAAGCAGTGGCAGGCTTAATGCAAAGCAGGTGACCTACTCCATCCCCACCAAGCTGGTTACAAAATCCTTGARGCTCTGCTCTCATTTGCAGAAAAAAGATCTGACAGGAAATTTCAGGCATAAACAACTTGAAGATCTGATTTACTTTTTTTTCACATCTCTAGTGCGTATAGGCAGTATGCAACCCCATCTCCCTCCCACCAAAGACATGTTTTCTTGAAGGACTCACATAGAAGTCCAGGTACACAGCCTTTTTGGGAGACAGAAATGAAGGAGGCTCTTCATGAGCCACCAGGAATTATATTGCCATGGAGCGCTCCATGACAAAACCCATCATTTAGATCTTGCCTGGCTGATACGTGCCACGAGGTCAGAATGGACTGTTTTAACTACCAYCTCAAAACAACACTCTTTGTGCCTTACCTGATAAATATCAGTACCAAGAGTTTTGTGATCAGCCCCCCAATACGCTGAGGTCTGCTAACAGATTCTTCGCTCTAGGATCAAGCCCATACCTGAGAGAGCATCGCAGCAAACAACCAAAACCGGAACATCTTCAGTGGGATGGCGATCAGATACTGGAAAAGACAAGATCAAGAGCCTSTGATGCACTTTCCTGTGTGATTGTGTCTTGTATTTTGCTTTTGAGGGGTAGTGGTCCAGTGCTGGTGAGACCCAGAGGTTCCAGATAGCAATGATCAGAAGCCACCAAGCAATGTTCTTGGCATTAAATGAAGGTATATTCTGTGCTACAAAGATGATCATGCAAACAYTTTTTCTAGTTTCTGGAAACCATTGAAATTTCTAGTTGGAATCAAGGTTTACACTGATCTAAAGCTAGCAGGTCAACAGTGATGGCACATGGAAGGTCAAGAACTGCAACACACTGGGGACCCAAACACTCAGTACCATGAATGCAAGCATGCTGGAGTGCTAATCTAATCAGTTTGGGAAGCTCGAGTGTTATTTTGCTATGTGACTCTTCTCACTCAGACTTATTTCAGTATTCAAAACTGTTTGCTATCCAAGTCGACCCCAAACTTTAGTCCTTTAGGCAGGATTTGGTCTCAGCACCCCACTCGGATTGGGTTCTGCAGGTAACGAGCCCAACTCTCGAAATCTCAGCTATGTCCTYTAAAGCTGTGAGTTTAAGTGACCGAGAGGCTTTGGCAGTGTCAGCCGAGTATGCCACGAGTTGGATGGCTGCTGCGGTGACCTACCTCAAAGAAACACGCAGAGAGTAGAAACGCAGCCAGGCGGGCCTGCCACTTGTCATAGCCGTGGTGCAGCAAGGGCTTGTAGACGTGTCTAGTTACACAGCACAGAACAACGTGAAGAAGCTTGATAAACTGTTCCCTCCGCACTGCTAGTCATTAACATCAGGATTAATCACACAGCACGAGATAACGGGGTTTACATCCAGCAGCCACCAAAGCCAAATGAGTCGCTCCAAACACACATGCCCATGAATCAGTAAAAGCGGCAGACTTGCAGAAACACTGTCCATGCACACCCCGAGCTAAAATCCTGGCAGTGACTGATGGGGGTGGGGAGAAAAAGGCTCTTCTGAGTTGCTGGGTAGCTATACTGCCTCAAAATGAAGTCTAAACCTTCCCAGGTTTCCTGTCTGCTTCCATACAGGGTGCATTTTAACCCTTTTCCTGCACACCTGAACACTATTTATACAGGTGGGCGAGTTGTTGCAAAACTGGTCAAAATCAAAAACAGGGCTGCCAACTTAGGTAGCCCAAGGAGCTTAATTTTCTAGACTACTACTTTAAAGCTCAGCTTTTGTGCCTCAGGGGATGACGGCCACAARAATCCTGCATAAAACGCTCCTGACTTAGTGGAGGGGGACGTCAGCACCTGAAAGGCATGGACGCTGCCAAGCCCGATCACTTAAAAAGACTCAGCTCTTACACTGCTGCCTTTCTCGCTTTGCAGCCAAGCGGGAGCAAACAGGACTTTGTGGACCAAGCTACAGGCTGAAAAGCATGACCATGCCTTAACCTTCTGCATCTGCATGGGAAATGCCAGAAAAACAGCGTCCCAGAGACATTCATAGAATGAAGCAGTTTCTACCTATTTACAGATGTGTAAGAACCTGTTTCCAGCTGAAATAGTAAGGAATGCTTTGGAATTAACCTCCTTCCTAGCCAGATCATAGAGATGATCTCCTTGGACCTCCTGGACTCCTCCAAGACTGTCAGTGAAGGAGCAGAATGGGTGACAAAAGAAGCAATCCCTCATGGACGGGAGGTCCTGATGACATTCCTGCCCCCACCATTTTCCAAGTGGGACTTCTTGTTTAGCTCCCTCCCTAGAGAAGGGCCAGGATTTAGCTTGCCAAGACCACTCCCAACAGTGCAAAGTACMTACTCACACCAACTTGGAAGCTGTTAAATTAACCAAGTCATTTCATTGCAGTCAGCCCCCTGCTATGCCTCTGAGACGATACTCAAATGTAAAGCTCACCCATTAATTACTTTAAACGCCAAGGTTTAATTGCAATGCACAGAGTTAAACTGCCAACCAGCCAAACTTTGAGGGCCATACAGGAGACAGTCCTGGCCACAGCAAGCTAATCCTTCAAAGAAGATGATTATTATTAATGTTATTGATTCTTGGCAGCAATAGCTCCTTTTTTAAACGCAAGACGTGCTAATTGGAAAGCGCCGAGCACGGTGTTGTACCTGTCTAGCCATCTGTGAGCCGGGATATTCCATCTGGACCAGAACTGTAAGACTGAGTCTGCATTCCTACAAAGACAGAAGGAGGAGAACCAGATGTCTTTTAATAGTGCGAGAGACACCACACACCCATCCTACCACATGGACATCCTTACCCATGGGTGAGGTAAAGCTGCAGCAAAAATGAAATTGCATCCGGGCTGGTTATCCCAGCACAAGCGAAAGGACATGGGATTAGAAGGACATGGGGYTCCCCATCACCCTTGGAGTCCAAAATGAAGTTGGCACCCGTTGTTTGGGGCATATGCTCCACAATGCACACAGGGCGGCAACTTGCATGTGTGCAGCACCCCGTGTTCATCCAGATTTAGGATTTAGAGACCATGAGACCTCAAAGACATGACAACAGACACAGTGCTGATGTGCTCAATCCCCAAATCTACAGATAATAACTGATTTTTGGCCCTTGTCAGCATTGAGAGAGCGTCAATCTCAATTATGGACACACGAAATTAGCTGCGACCTGGAGGTATCTATCAGGAGGACGAAGGGAAACCTCCTCTGCCAGCCTCTCCACCCAACCTACCATACACCTTCTCCGTGCTGCACGCTGGTGCCATGCTGCAGGCCATCAGATCACTGGAGACGCCTGTGATCTCAACGGCACCGCTCCTGATTTCCCTTTGAAAGCATCAGCAGTCTGACCGGACTGGAAGGGTCAGTCAGTCAAGGCGACAAACGCCTGACTGATGAGAGACACCGGCACACATTGACTTGACTGGGCTATAAACATTTCATCTTCCTGACAACGCTTCCATTGGGCAAAGGGAATGAAGCATCCGACGGAGCAGCTCCYAACTTCACGCTGCGGGCTGCACTCTTGGAGTTCTCCTAAAAGCCCTGCTTGGAGCGTGAGCTTACRTTTAACTTAGACTGCCTCAATAATGAAAATTTGGGATTTAGAAAAACCATGGTGTGGCCTCAGCTCGCAGTATATACTGGCTTTATTAGRGCCAGCTCTGGAGCGGTCTTTCAGGAGTGGAAAGTAAAGTCAGACATGGAAAGAATACCAAATAAATAAATAAATAAAAGCTACAGCCTAAAAAAAAGAGCTCTGTGATTTCTAAGCCAGCTTCAYGACTTTTGGGGCCTGATTCATTATTTTCTAAACACATTGTTGTCCGAACRTAATTTAGCTCACAGAATGTTTGTTAGTCTAGGGACAACGACATTTCCTGGGGTTAATGGATTCTGTAACCCGTTTTGGTTATTTTTAAAGCTCCATCACCAGCAGCCAGCTGGAGAGCACCCTATTAGTGAACACCCCAGCAGAGCAGCGACCAGCGCGGGATATCTTTTTGGCACGGGGGACAGGGCAGGGACGAGGAGTTCCCTGCTGGCCCTTGGGGAAGAGCAGAGAACGGCAACGGCACAGCCTAAACCACACACTGCAGCACCCACCTCGAGGTGCCCATGTCCCATGTACACCTCCAAAGCAGGGTGCCAGGTCAGGGTGGGCAGGCTCACTTGGACTGAAGCAGCACCTGCTGCATCTGGAGCTCACCTCTATTTGTATCCCGATATACTGGTTTGTATCCCTATTTATTTCAGGCCCACTGCAGATCCTGTTTCACTTTTAGGTTCATACATGCATCTTTTCTCWGTGGAAACTCAGATTGCAACTCCTGTTCCATCAATACTTAACCTGTTAATCTGTTTTTACCATTAGAATGATCTGATGATTTATAGAAGTATGTCCTTAAACCGTGCACATTCATTTTTGCCTAGCTGTTGCACCCTTATWATTTGTTACCGATACGAAGATGTCCAGTTTCTCTTAGCCAATTACGCTGGAAAAGGAGCTTAGGTTACAGAAAATCCAGCAGAGGTTGGAAACATAACTCTCATTTACAGTCTGCTGGTAACCATTCTCACAGATCCATTTCCTTGTGTGGGGATGGAAACAAGAAACAGAAGCGAAAATAATTTTAGGTGCCGGTTTAGATGTCAAGCCAAAATAGGTAAGGATCTGATTTTTGGATCTCGTCCATACCTTGCTGGAATAAATCAAGTGTCTGCTTCTAAAGAAACAGTGGGGAAAGCAAAAGTTAACGTTTACTCCTAATGTGCCCAAAGTGTATCAATTACAGCCATTTATACCAAAATAGGTATAAAATCACTGTCACCCTCGTGGAAATGTTCACTGCCGTCTCCACCACGGGGTAAATGGCAGTGGTTAATGGGAGGCAAGCAGGGAGCATGACCTTGTTTTCTGAAAGCCTTATCTTGCTTTTGCCCTACRCACCTTACCTAACGAACCCAGCTGCCTAAATTATAAGGCAGCATTTGGGCCACGCTTGAGACTTGTCAAATTCGATGCGTCCCAGCTACTTGGTGCTCTGCTTAGGAAAACCATTTCACAGCTCTCAACACGTCTAAGCCATGCTGCACTAAGAGGCAACACAGCTTTTTCTTTTTCTCCCTTGCACCAGGAGATGAAAAGACCCCTTACCACCAGTCCAGGTAAAACTGCCGGTCACCAAATCGCAGCAATTCTGCAAGGCAATTGAGGCAGGAGTGAAAGTACCAATAAAAAAAGATCAGCCAGATGAAGTGATTTGGCACCTAGAGGAGAAACAGAATAAAATAAAGCTTTTCCTCTCGCTTTACTTCCACCCCTTGATCACAGTTTGACTATCAGCCCATACAACTGTTCCTAAAGAGAGATTTGATGATTTGATCCTCACCTTGAGCTAAGCTAAGGGAGAGTGGGCAAGGTGCTGGGAGCAAATTGCAAGGCTCAGTGGGCCTGTGGTGTGCAATGGGATGGTGCTGGGTTGAGAGAAGGAGAAGCAGAGCTCTCAAGGCAACCCAGCTTCTTTGGTCTCTGCTCATGTTGCTCAATGCCCTCTGCTAGCTGGGGATGCCCTGCAGGGACAGCACATGYGCGTGCATTGTAATTTTAAGTCCAAAAAGCCCTCATTAAGTGAACTAGATAAAGGCAAATGCATCTACCCAGGAGCTTCAGTAAAAAATGCTGCTGCATTAATCACAGCCTTACCTTCAGCRACCATTACCTGCCTGGTCCTTGCCTTGCAGGCACAAGTTATAACCCTTTAAATGCATCAGTATCATAAAATCACAGCTCTGCTGGCATGAACATGGCTATGTGAGACTAAAGATGCTCCTGCGACAGTTCTCGAAAGATCTTGGCCTTGGCAAAGGGGAGCTGAGGGACAGAGAGTGCCTGTAGTGCCCAGAGCACCAGCAGGGAATGCCATAGCAAACTGCTAATTTGGGAGACGACTTCAAGAGCCACGTTTAGATACCACGATGCGCTGTCACAGACCAAAAGGGAAGAGAAAGATGTAATTAAAAGGTTAAATCCGGTGAAATGGAAGCAAACCAAGAGAGCTGCTGAGAGCTCATGATTAGGCCACTGATAAAACAYTGCACAGGTTTTGAGCAGGAAAGCACAGGAGCAGGAAAATCCTTCAGACAAGGAGAATGTGCCATTGAAATCTTAGTGTGCCCTATGACAAAGCATCAAATAGCAAAAAGCACTTCCCATAGGATTCAGGGGGAGAAAAAAAAAAGGATTAGGGAGCACCCRTCAGGATTTACTTTGCAGCATTTTGGAGTATTTTGTGGGGCAAGAAAAATAACCAAACCCACCAGAGTGCAACATCAAGACGCACCATCCAAGTATGCGTGCATTTGGGGGAAGAGTATAAGGTAGACACACGTGTCATTAAATTTGGACATTAAATGGGCTGTTGAACCTGGGCCCAAGCCCACTTAAAATAATACAAAYAACTGGGAGGGCAAATAACCACTACAGAGGTCACTAGGGCTTAGAGACGCAGCAGCAGAAGCCCCCTTATCCCTCCCGAGCAGCAACGTTGTGCAAGAATTAGCACGTGATGGTTGCAGACCCAAGGAGACTCTGCTGAGAAGCTTTGCAAGTGCAAAAGGAGCGAGYAGAGTAATACAAGGAAGAGAAAAAGAGCCAGAAGTTTCTCTCTGGGATGGGTCTTTCTGTACAAGCATTTGGGGAAGTGACCGGTCTGCTAAATCAGCGCAACGCTGGCYCTTCTTCCCAGCCTCGAGTCTATGCATTGCGTTCTGCCTTGCTGCAACCAATACTATTATTTTTGATCCCCAAAGCTCTGAAGAGCTACATTTCCAGGACACAAGTGAAAAGCCCAAAGGGAAGTCGGCGAAGAGCTGAAGATGAACTGCTCTCAAGCTAGKGAATTAACTCCTGGGACAGATCGAGTGGCTGTAGAGCCAGGCGTTAAGATATGCCATGAAATATTCCTCTCTGAAAAGGTTTCCTAGTATGACGTACAGAACAGTGATACCTCTTCAAGTCCTTTTTATCCAGTCGCCCRTCAAACCTGGTAAGACACCGTATCCAAAGGAAAGTTATGATCCTCCCAAAAGACCCTAAGCAGACTCCACAAAATCCCCAGGCTTTGATATCGGTATTTTGCACGAAGACGTTTCAGTAAAGCCACCATGAAGGGCAGCAGCCTTTTGGACAGATTCGGAAGGGAACAGAGCTTGCACTGCCCAAGCTCCTTAGGTTTCTGGTGCAAGGGCAGCTCCCTAATGCATCAGCCCAGCGGCTGAACAGCGACGGGGCAGCCTGGCCTTACCGCCAGCTTCAGGAGGTATTCTGTGAGCAAGGTGGACTCGATTTCCTGCGGAGAGAAATGAAACACATCACAGCATGATCTCTAGGCAAGGCAGTGAAATGGAATAAGGTCAGAGGAAAGCGATGGGTCTTATCTGCTTACCATGATGGGCTTCATTGATTTATGTATGTTTGGTACAATCCACTGAAAGCAAAAACAAATAGAGAGCAATGAGCTGCGCAGTTCTGAACACAAGGCTCCGTAAAGCGGCTCGTTATCTTGTGATTGCTATAATTAAATGATACAGCTGCAGCATGAGCCCATACAGATGGGCTCCAGCAGCAGGYGACCGCCGGGTGCCTCCCTCTTAGCACCCAGGGCGGCTCAAACGCCTTTGCTGCCCTTCACACGGGCAGCTAAGCTTGAAACCCCACTATGTGGGCAGGACAGGTAGGTAGGTAGGACCAAGTCCTCCAGCCTTCTGGAGCTGAGGGRCTTCTGGAGCTGAGGGGAGAGAAAAAGGCCCCCAAATTAACTCTTTTGGGAGGTATCAGGAGAAAAGAACCCTCCTAGCATCTTCTATTAAGTGCAAAAGGCTGCCAGCTCAGGTGAGCAGCTCACAGAGATGACTATTTTAAGTACCTTATAATAGTGTGGGCTTTATGCCATGCTTATATGGGAACAAAAAATTTCCTCGATACCCTCAAAAATCTTCTTTGAATAAATCCCCCTTTACTGTGCTCCACTGCCACCAGCCTGGGCACAAAGCACTTGGGAGAAATCCTGCCCGGGATCCTGAGCACACCAAGTGACAGCTGCCAGGAGACGGAGCCRATGGTAAGGTAAGCACCAGGGAGAATGACTTGCCTTAGCACAGCTACAAAGCTTTTCTTCTGCACAGCCCATGATAGCTTAAAAACATATAGCCTTTCACAAGGGAGAGATGACTCAGACCRGAGATGCAAACAGCCATCCAGTCCATAAAATAAAGTGAGAAACATGGTGAAAATTCCCCATTCCCTCATCCCAGTGCCATCTCTAGCCTTCTTGACACTAAGCAGGCACTGGAATCCTGAACTGATGTTCAAAGAGATATGGATAAGCTGATATGGATATGTTGTGTGGAAGTAGATAGGGATAAGTACAGACATGATAAAGTGAGCTGTTTCAGCAGTGCCTAAGCACTAAGATAGRCAGAGGTGCTCTATACAATAAGAAGAATGAAGTGGTGCAGGTTGGTATTGCCTAGAGTGTAAAAATGGTAATAACTGCATTGCAATGGTCCTTATTGTATGGGGCAACTGAATCCTTGGGTTTTAACATTGAACAAGTGAAAAAGTAATACCTGCTGAATTAGCCCCAGCATGAGATGAAAGAGAAATACCTGCAAAAAAAAAATTGGACAAGACATCAGTATCCTTCACTGAATCCCTCATTCTAAAGCCATCACATCCCGTATCCTAGGGCATCACTCCATATCTTCATCTACTTTGCWTTTAGATACCAAAACCGCCAGCGTGGTTTGGGGCCAGTGGTTCTGCAATGAGTGATGAGACCACGGGGCTTAATTYGGTTTCGTTTGTTGGCAAGAAGCAAGAGAGTCCCATGCACTTCACATCCCCTCTGTGTCAGTTCCCACCAGAACCCCTTTCAAGGCGAATCTATGCTGGCCAAATCCCCACTTCCATTCGAGAAGCCTAGAAAAGGAGGAGAGGAATTAGAAAGGGCTGCATGAAATCCCCATGATTAGTCAAATATCCCTGTGCGAGGGCTGGAATGTGCAGGATTTAACAGACAACTGTATCACCACTGGATTTATCGAAAACGAAAGCAGACGCAGACAGCAAAGGAGACTGCTGCATTTTTAGCAGAGTGCCCATCCAGGCTGGAGGATGTCTCTTTCCTCCTCTAGGACCCCACAGACTTAGGAAAAGCATTTAAAATATGAGAAATACCCTTCTTTTTGATAAACATTAGAGAAAACATGTCTGTGTGATAAGGGAGTGTTCAATGCACATCTGTAACATTAGCACCCAAAGGAACAGAGCCACTGTGAATCTCAGCRTTCAATACAGTAACTGCTGCTATCCAAGGAGGGTCCCTGAGGGTGAYAGATTTAAGTGAAGTGTTGGTTGTTTTCTTACCATTTCAAGCAGCCTCTTAAGGACATAGCCATGTCTGCAGTGCTTTAGCCGTGGGAAATTCAGCTGGTAGCAAAGTGTTGGGGCTAGCAGAAAATAATACAAGTCTAAGGGGGAAAAGGAAGAGAAACGCCACATATTGTTTTCCTGTGTTAGGTCAACAAAACCCACCCAGGAATTCCCATCGTAYGTAGAACCACAAGCTTGATGAAGACCCGTTTTGGGCAAAGGGGCATTCACACTGTCTTGTGACTGCACAGAACTGCGGCTGGCACGTCCCACACATCCCTCCCAGCAGGCAACCTCATGTGGAAAGGGGGACATGGGCTTTACACTTCCTTTCAGTGCAAAAAAGCAGCAGTAAACAGCCTGCAGCAAAAGGGACACCAAGTGTGGTAGTACCCATGGGATGACACTCAACCCTCTGAGGATGGAAAAAACAGAGTCACCACTGCACTGGTCTGGGGTGATCACTGGCTTGTAGAGGTCAGTGAGGATGTTCTTGATATTAAAGAGTTGGGTAGTGAAGGAATTTTATTAAACAGGTCTCTCAAATTATTGTTTAGGAATGTAAACCAATGCCCTGACTTTCAAAACATCATCTAGCAGGGAGTCCAACTGTAGAGATTTGCAAAGATACAAGTTCATTTTATCAGCCATCAAAATGGCATGGTGGAAAAGGAAAAAAACSTTTCCAGGAACTCCACATGCTCTACAGTACTTACCAACCACCAAGCTCTGCGATTCTGCAAATGAGACTTTCATTTGAAACCTTTTTTTTTAATTGTGCTGCTGTTGCCTAGCAAAGGACACGCACACAACAACCCAGGCTGCATGGCAGGAAAGGCCAATACTCTTTACACCTGAATTGCTGTCAAACACACAACACTCACACTTGAAAACTTCAGTCTTAGGTCACTTGCTAACAGTATTTTCCAACAGAGGTTTAATTTTGGAGAAATAATGCCCCACCTAAGAGATTATGGAGGCAATTTTTCTTCCTTTGGCTGAGGTAGAAGCTGCCCAGCTGCCAGTCCCTCTCTGCAACTTTCTGTAGCATATTATTATAACAATCCTGCTCTGCTGACAGGGAAGGAGTAGCTGCTGGAAAAGAAGGAACTGTTACCTTTTACTTTCAGGTTCATTGGGTAGACAATCTGCTTTGACTGTCCTCTTTCACTCCTTCTGGGGTGGTAGCTGGAGTATTCTGCTGTAACACAAAGCGTAAAGGTGACGAGTTGGGTTTAGGTGGCCCTGAATGAAGTTACATAACGAGGTCCAGGTGATGGTATCAGCAGGAGCTTTTATCTCATTGTGGTTTTGCTTTGATCCCTACAAACTGAGGCAGGGATCCCTTCCCTCTCTGAGATTCAAATGAGCAGCTTGAATCAGTCACATTGCACACACACTTTGGATGTTCTCTGTTTACATGATCCCATGTCTGTTTTCCGCAGAGCCTCTGCTTCCCTCGGTCCCCAAGGCAGAGACACGGAGGAACTTACTCCAACTCACCAGCCTGGATGAGTCCCATCAGCTCCAAAGTCAAAAATAGAGAAAGGGTCAAAGTGCTTTTTGAAAGCAGAAGAGCTCTGCAAGAAAGACCAGCAGGAACACACAAAGTTCAGGACGTAACTGAGCCTGGAGAGTAAGCAGCGTTGTTACTAGGTTAGTAAGAGGTGCAAACAGAGAGATTTTGAGGGAAAAGAAAAAGGGGGAGGAATCTGGGCATTAGCTTTCTGTTCCCCTCAAAGCCAACTGTAAAACCTTCCTTTGATGCCTCGAGAGGCACATGTTGATCACTCCTTCCAAACGCTTGGTGAGGCAGAACATGTCTAGATGCCCCAAAGACTCTCTGCTGTGAGGGAAACAGAAAAATGGAGCAGAGGATTCACTCCCAGTTACAAACTACATCCGCAATGGAGCTGGGAGCAGGGTACAGGACTCCCAGCTCTGCGCTCGGTCCACCCAACAGTAGATCATCCTTCTCAATGTCCGCTGCCGCTCACATTGATGGAAGGGTGCTGCATTTTCTGACCTTGCATCCTGGCACTTCCTCGGACAGATTTGGGGTTTGCCTCCCTATGCCAGCGATTCACCTGGTAGTATGAGAACAGTTTCAGGGTAATGATGAGATACACAAACATGGTCAGCAGCCCTCCAACTAAGAGAAAGGAGAGAAAATACAGTGAAGCAAGAGCTGATGCACCAAGTTAGCTTAGCTTCCTCACAGCAGATAACACGAGAAACTCCTCTGCTAGCCACATAACAGGCACTTCTGCTTATATAGTTGGCCAGCTGCATCCAAAATCTTTTTTGCTGGAGCACTCTGCTCATCCCAACCCAAAACCTTTCAGCTCTGAGAGGGAGGGCGCCCTGACACCTTTGCTCGCCTGCAGCAAGCCCTATAAGAAAAGGACCAAAACATCTCAGATGATGACTTCCTTTACTGTCATTCATTATTTCAGATCTTCCAAATATGACCCACRTGTCTCTCTGTCTGTCCCTTCCCCCTCTTTGTGTGGGCATACCCRCCCCCAGCGAGACTCCACTGCTGCTTGTTTAGCCTACCCTTAAATAGACCATCCTAACGATGGCAACACAGTGGGGCACTATCAGCTTAGCAGATAGGAGCAGGAGGAATATCATTTGCTGCAACTTGCTGAAGCTGCCAGTGATTTATGAGTTGTTTCAGTAGATGGAGCTATTGCTGTAGTCACAGCGAAGAGACAATTCAGGGCATTCAGAAGAAAAAAAAAATAGTGTTTGCCTGCGATGTGGCTGTTTGTCAAATGAATCCGCAGGCCCATCCAGGCAAATATGCGCCATCCAGGCAACCRCATACTCTTTTGGAAAATGTATGGGCTTGCTCTGAATCTCCCAGGACTAATTTTCAGATCTAGAGGCTCATGAGCAGCCCAGCCTAAGCTTACAGTTTAAGATGCATTTGGAAGCTGGCAGTTACCCAAAACACAACTGCTGTGTAACTGCGGTATATAAAGAGAAGCACTTGCCACAGTCATCGGCCAGTTCCTCTCAATGGTGCCAATATCCATGGGTTTTTTTAATGTTAGATGTCACTACCATGGAAGCGACACACGGGTGCAATTCCTGGACTGTTTTATTGCTGGATACCCTTGGCTGATAGAGCCGGGCTTTCCGAATATTTACCAACATGCACACCGAGGAAAGGAATACGGAGAAGAAGGCAAGGAAGCGAGCTTCCAAAAAAATTGCCCTTGATGTGTGTGATTCTTTAAAGGGCCCAGGCTGATGATTATGATCATAAACTTAGGCAGAAAACAGCAAGCAATTCATGGTACAATTAGAATTTGAGATAAATGGATTAATAAGTCCCTGCTCAAGCATCTAATTAGGACAGGGCTGTATTCTTCAAAGGCTTCTGTTGACATTATCCATTACTGAAGGGGAATTTGGATTTAATATCTCCTTGGTATGCAACCTCATTACCATTTTCCCCGATGGGAGCTACATGCCCCAACGAAAGGCCAGGGAACATTATACTTAGCACAGAACACTTTCAAAAATCGACCCCTTATGCTCTGAGCATTGCATAAGACCCGCTGGCAAGCCACATAGGACTGGTTAACACCTCTGCCCTATATATATATGTATTTTTTTTTAATGGTGAGGGTTAAAGGTAGTATTTTATACCAGGCAGCCCTTCTATTCTGCCAGCCACATCCACTGTGGAACACGATGCCATTTACTGCTGGGCTGCGGGTAAGCCTGGGTAACACTTTGAGCCATGAACAAATCTCTCACCTGGAGTTATGGCTTTCATTCTATAAACCATCACAGCCGGGAACGCCACCAGGGAGAGCAAGTTAAGAGTCTGCAGCGCCAAACCCAGGAATCCAGAGCCACGGACCTGCAAAGGACACGAACGGGGCGTTATGACCCTACCCAGGGGCGGTTTAGTCTTATGAATAAGGGGCTCTAAATGAGGAGGCATCTGGTGAGCTGACAGATAACTGAGCCAGGCACACAAGGAGTTTCTGCCCTGCATTTCTGCTAAGGGCTCGGGGTCTAGTTTCTATCATATCACTCAGTCCCTGGCTCCAAAGCAAGGCTGCTTGTTGCAGTAGCCCCTGCGGTAGTTTTGCATTGAGGCAATGATCAAAATCAAGGCCCCAAAACCCTTTTCAATGGTTTTAAATCTAAATTTAGAGCCTAATCTCCAAATGAATGTATGAAGCTGCTCTACCTCACTGCAATACTAATGTGCTTTACAAATATATTATGGCTGGCGGGCATCTCATCTTGCCAAGTGTAGACGTAGTGAGGAGTCAGACTAAGGGAAGGGATTTTGCTCAAAAGACCCATCATTGCAAAGAGCAAATGAAGGAAACAGTTCACTCACCTTTTTTAAATACTTTTCTATAAAAACTGCAGGAAGTGCAAGCAAAACAGAAGCTGCAAGGAAAGAAATAACACAAACATCAAAAAAAAAAATCTCTATTAAAGCCACCACTGGTAGGGACACTGGGCTGGACCGAACTTGCAGGCAGAAATGGTAAGCTAAGACTTGTGCAGAGATCACCAAACCTCTGCAAAATGGGACTTGCATTTGGTCCCTGAGTTAGGAAGGGATTGATAGCATCCCTGTGGCTTCTCGAGAACCTGTGYGGATTTGCAGGTGTACTCCAGCACCAAAACAGAGATGTTCTCATTCGTCTCCATGAGCAATTAACTGTGAAACCTAGTGATAATTTAAATTTGGTGTTTATGACCATGTCAGTCCTAATCAGCTTCACGACTAGCTGTTTTGGGCTGGGTAGCCAGAGCAAACTGCGATCGTGCCCTTACCTCCTTCTCTAATTATAAGGAAGGAAATTGAATGCAAGGGCACATCTAAAAAGTGGAGGAACCTGCAACAATTAAAATGTAACCTCACGCAGGGAAATCAAATGAGTAATGTCTATTACGAGCAGTAGCTAAGTGTTTTCTGGCGTTCCACAATAAAATCATTCCTGAATCTTAAAGCCAAAATAGACTTGAATGCAAAGAGGTTATAAACAACCTGCTTCGGTTTTAGGGACTTGCACAAAATCGTTATTTTTAGCATTTGACTCACACGTTTCTCATGACTAACATTCCAGATGTGTCTCTGTGCTTCGGGGGAAAGGGACCACAGGCTGCTCTCAGCCCCATCCTGATTCTCTGGTCATTCTGATCCCTGCTTGGACGGAGACTACCCAGCAGGTCTCACCTGTCTGAGACTCTCATCACGTGGACTCACTTTGGAAAACAAACTGTGATTCTCTTTGGAACAAAGTGTATTTTTCCACCATATTAGCAAAGCTTATCTGTAAAGGAAACCAACTAGAGGGGCAGCGCTGCAAAGCCCCTCTGGCACCTCACTTCCATGGGCACCACCTCCTGATAGGTGTGGGCACCTAAAAATCGGTGGCAAACCTGACCCTTAGCCTGCAGAGTGAGCTCTGTTGGAAACCACGGGCCGTTACAAACCCCACTTGAAGGAAAAATTACTCTCCTCCAGCCTGACATCAACTGCAGAAGCCTTATAAAAGCACCTCCCTGTATTGCATACGAGTCTCTTCTGGAGGAGGACACTGGGCAAAGGCTAAAGTGTACAAAATGTGGTGCCTAACGCACCACGAAAGGCACTCAGCTGCTCCACGATGGAGATGAAGGGTCAGAGGGGAAGGCAGCAAAAGCCTTTGCATCACAGCACTGATCAAAGGAGGCCTCATACTCTTTAAGGGCCACCAATTGTGATATTAAGGGACACAATCACCTCCAAAAAATCACTGCTGGTGAATGCATGCAGCTGCACTTTCTCGAGTGGATTTACATCTACTCCTGCCATTGGGATATTTGGGCCTAAAATTCCACTGGGAGAAGGAGAAWTCTTTATGCTGAAAATAAGGGTCTGCAAACATCATGGATCTCAATGAGATTACTTGGGTTTGCCAGATCTTCCTCATTGAATGTGCTTTCTTGTTACTTTGCTATCTCTGCTTGTAAATACAGTATTATAAGAGAATGCAACAATCAAGAGAGATGCAGTCTCTCCTAGCAGAGATTAAATCCTTCAAAATCCACGTCTGGGTTTGTGTGATAAAACCTGGCATTGAGTACAAGCCAAAAAGTCCAGAGGGGAAAAAAAAGTTTGCTCTTAAGCTATTTCACAGGGTTTTGTCAACTTTAAATGTGATGGTCTTGAATACTTGGCTGCTGACACTCAACCTTGCTAGCTTACCGGCAATGAGATATATTGCTGGCCACTTATAGGGGTCTTTAATGAAAACTGAGATGATCTTTATGGGATCAAAGAGAAGTCCGTACCTGGAAGAGGAAAGCAGTCAGGTTTGAGGATAACCTATGCCAGGATGCTCTCAGGGTTACAGGAGCCTGYCTCATCTCTTCCTCTCATTCCCCCCTGCCTTGGATTGCAGAACTTCTCCTAACGGGGAAGTTCAAAACGGCCAGCAGTATCTCCTTAAGCTTCAGGACCAACAAGTTAATACCTGAAACCTCCTTGCCCTCTTCTCCAGCACCCACCACCCCCTGCTCCAGCAGGACATAGTGGCCAGAGGCTCTGGATTCCAGAGGACTCCATGGACACCCTTTCAACAGCGCAGAAGATGCCCCTAATCAGCCCAGCTCTTTGGTGGGCTGGTTTTCTGCAGGAGCATAGGCAAGGAACTGCCTTACTCTGCTCCTCACAGAGCTCGWGGGTGGCTCGCTTGCTGTGTGCTCTCGTTACGGTGCTAACACTCCTTTCCCCTGCTGCACCAAATTTCTGGTGAGCAAATCCTGACTCAAAGCACATCACACGGGCTCAGGAGGTATCGGTGCAGGTCCACCAGCTACGGTTGAGTAGGATAAGCAAGAAGATTTACATATCTATAATGCAGTAAGACCAATAGCTAAAACATTAAAATGAAAGCTCTAAAGCATTCTTGTTTAATACTAAAGGATCCAAAAACCTCTTTTATGGCTTTTTTGACGTGCTGCATTGTGTTCAGCGGGTGCTGCTGGACAGCACTTCATATATGTGGTCAAAGAAGGAGAAACGTGGGCCTCCCTCTGAGGACAAATCTGCTCTCCCTGCAATTCAGGAGTCATGCTCTTATTCTAGATGTCAAGAAGTAAGTAACAAGGCTTTTTTGTTTGTTTTTCCCTAACTCACTTACTTGATAAAATTCTCCAGGCTCATGTGAATATGAGTGAGAACCTGGAATGAAGAACCAGATTACCACGATATATACAGAAACATATTTAGGATATCTTTAGGCAGCTATGCACTATTCCAGCATGCAGAACAAAGACTTTCTCCTTAAACTAACTAAAAGGGCTCTGCCAATGTTATCATCCCAGCTTGCTTTTACTAGCCATGCCCAACGTACCTCAGAAACAAATACAGCATTTCTTTTCAGATGTGAAGGTCATATAACAAAACTCCCCTGCCGTCTTCTCTTTCAAACAGGTCACTAATGTCTAATTTTTATGTAATTTCTTACAAACAGTTGCTTCCTTCTGTGCAGGAATGAGGAGCGATTCATTAGACCCTAAAGATTTTGGGTCTCAGCTTTGAGCATCTTGTACAACTTGGCTGCATGGAGCTGGAGAGCATCCATGAAGACGGGTGTAGGATAAACACCACTCCCAACAGCTTCCCTCGACACATCATCATAACAAGACAGATAAAAGGACATTTCTAASCCATATCTAACCCCGCCGCGACTTCCAAACCCAAAGAAGAGTATATTGGCACCTTGAAACACCAAATGCAAGAACTGAGGTGAAAAGCACTACCGTATTTTGCAGTATTTCATTTAAATAAGGTTTTTAGCCACAAGGCACTAACTTCTTTACAAGAAACCCRCACCAGCACAGCCGTGACTTCTGCACTTACCAGCAGAACCACCGACCAGTTAAAAATGCCTTGGAAATTGTTGAATCCGCTCCCACAGGATAACAGCGATTCGCACAGTGAATGACAGCTAGGAAAAAAAAAAAAAAAGTATGGAAGAGTGCTTGAAACACGTTGATTTTCAGCTCGGTATTGCCCTCCCGCTGGGGTTGCCTCGTACCTGAGCCTGTCGGGGTCCTCGGGCCTGGCGCCGGTGTCYCTCGGGATGGGCTGCGGCATCTCGGGACACAGGACAAGGGCCATTTTCCGCCTCCTCCTCGTGGCCATGGTGCCACAGCAGCCCGGGGAGCGAGCGGATCCCGCCCGGCCCTGGCCGAGGCTCCGGAGCCTCAGCCCTGTTAACAGGGGGATGCGGTCAGGCACGTGGCTGGGAATGGCTTCAGYGGAGTGCTCCATGGGAAAGAGCCCTGGGAATGGCCGGGACAACGGGAAAAGGGCCGGGGACAACCGTTGCCTCGCCATTCATAAAAATACTGAACCGCCGAGGGGCGTGGCCCRAAAGGGGGCGTGGTCACACAGGGCGGAGCCACATAAGGGGTGGAGCCATAAGGAGGGCGGGGCCCGCACCACGTTGGGAGCCCTCGCGTGAAGGGGCGGGGCCCTGACCCTTTGGGGCGGGGCCAGGTCACTTCGGGGCGGGGCCAGGTCACTTCGGGGCGGGGCCCGCCTTACCGGGAGGGCGGCC